GGGGCCGGCGTTGGGGGCAGTGATGGCCGTCGGCAGAGGGTGACTTACCAGAGTCCCACCAGGCCGACCTGCAGGGGAGCGTTCAGATACGGGTACCGCTGCGGGGACAGGGAGAGGCTGAGCGTCAGTGGGGCGGATAGGGTGGGAAGGTGCCTGTTCCCCAATGGGGTGCCAGCCCCGAGGGGTGCCAGCACTGTGACAAGCTAGGAGGGTGTCCCTCTGCCCACCCTCCCATCCCAGGACCACCAGTACCTTCAGGAAAGCTCTCTTCTCCAGCGCGTTCATGATCACCGGGGGGATGGCTGGGGCAGTGGGGAAGGAGATGAGATCCCGGTGCTCACAGCCCCCCTCCAGCTGTGGGACCCTGTCCCACACTGCCAGGGACCGGCTGCAGCCCCCAAACACGGGTGGAGGAGGGAATACTCACCCATGGCCGGGGCTGCCATGCCGATGCGGGACACCACCACCTGGAAAATGGCCTTCTGGGCTGCAGCTGTGGACTCGCCCAGGCGGTTTCCATTCTGATCGGTGACGGGGATCCCCACCTTGAGCTCTCTGCAGGGAGAGGTACATGGGTGGGGGGATCAAGAGACAGGGCATGGGCACAGCACAGGGGCACATCTCCATGTTGGCATTCCCCATCCACTGCCTGCGCAGTAAGTCAGGGGGGTCTCAGTTGGACCCACATTCACACTTGGGGGGTCCTCAACAGGGCTGGATGGGGACAGGTAATTCACAGCCAGCTTAACCGATAACCCCTTGGGATGCCACCGGGTGCTTGCACCAACCCCCCAGGGCAAGGGATGCCAGCAGGGCCAGGAAGGAAGTCCCCCTGCAAGCCACTGTGTGCCCTTGAAATCACTCACCCCTGGTTTTTGGGAGGGGAAGTTTTCCTCTCCAGGAGTGACTCTGCCATCCCCAGGGGCCAGCCACCAAACCACTGGGGAACACGGGTGCCTGGCCCCACGGCGGATGAGAGTGGGGGCTTAGCACAGAGGGGTTCAACCCTCAATCGCTGTGATTGTCCGCTGCCCCCTAAAGCCAGGGAGCACCGTTTTCCTCCCCGCTCGCGAGGTCCCTGGTGCCGCTGCCCACGCTCCCCCGTGCACTGCGCACACTACGCGCAGGGTGAGCACGGGAGACGTGCACGGGGGTGCCAGCCAGGAGGTCCCCTGAGCGGGGCTGAGCCCAGGCGTGGGGACGGGGCTCGGCGCAGTGCGGTGCTGCGTGGCTGCGGGCATCCCGGGAAGCAGGGCTGAGCGCCTGGGACCTCCGTGACCTCCGGAAACGCGATGGCCAAGGGAAAGCAGCGGCGGCCCCGAAGGGATCCGAGGGGCGAAGCTCAGCAATGTGCTGGCCCGGCGGCTCTGCGGCACGCATCTCAGCTGCCCCGGGCGCCCCGAGCCCGCCGTTCAGAGCCCTTTGTTGAAGTAGACAGTCTCCAGCCACGGGTCTTTCTCGCGGATCCGAGCTTGGACTTCAGGCTCCAGGCGGCTCACGGCCATTGAGCTGCCGAGGGGACAGGGATCCAGAGGATGGAGGGGGGATACCCACCAGTGGCCTCAGGTTGGGAAAACACCTGCTGCCACCCCTTCCCCACCTGCACCCCATGAGGACGTTGTCCCCATCACCCAGTGCAGACCTTTGGGTCTCCACTGCTGCGTGGGCACAGGGATGTGCACAGAGTTTCAAGCCTCTGACTGCTGGAAGGAGCAGAAGCATCTCTTGGGAGTCAGAGAGCACAAGGAGCCCACCCCACCCACCACCTGTACCCCGTGCCCTGTCCCACGGGAGCCACACACACAGGCAAGGTGCCCATCCTCACCTTTTCTGCGGGAAGAGCGCACAGCACAGCGGGGTCGCAAACACCAGGCTGCAGGGGAAAGACACGGAGAGGAGAAGCTGCGCTGCATAAATCACCTGCTCCCACCCATGGCCTGACCCCAGAGCAGCAAGGAGACAGCCCAGAGCCGTGCCAGGTGCTCAGCCAGGAAAGGGGTAAGGAGATGCCTTCTCCTAGCTCCAGGCCCTGCATTCGGCTCCTGAAGTGGGGCAAAGCCTGTCCCCGAGTGTGGGGGAATAGCAATGATGAGCAGGAGCTCACAGCAGGCTTGAGACACATCAAGAGGGAGCAAAACAGCTCGCAGCCCGAGGACCTCATATCCCATCCCATCTGCCTGGGGGGGCACCAGCCTGGCCAAGCTCCAGCATCCCCCCAGGAGCTCTGGGGTGGCTCTCGCCTCCCCTGCCAGGCAGACCCCCCAGCAGCACTGCCCCCCGTACCCGGGCTGGGCCTGCGCTTGGGGCAGTGATGGCCGTCGGCAGAGGGTGACTTACCAGAGTCCCACCAGGCCGACCTGCAGGGGAGCGTTCAGATACGGGTACCGCTGCGGGGACAGGGAGAGGCTGAGCGTCAGTGGGGCGGATAGGGTGGGAAGGTGCCTGTTCCCCAATGGGGTGCCAGCCCCGAGGGGTGCCAGCACTGTGACAAGCTAGGAGGGTGTCCCTCTGCCCACCCTCCCATCCCAGGACCACCAGTACCTTCAGGAAAGCTCTCTTCTCCAGCGCGTTCATGATCACCGGGGGGATGGCTGGGGCAGTGGGGAAGGAGATGAGATCCCGGTGCTCACAGCCCCCCTCCAGCTGTGGGACCCTGTCCCACACTGCCAGGGACCCCCTGCAGCCCCCAAACACGGGTGGAGGAGGGAATACTCACCCATGGCCGGGGCTGCCATGCCGATGCGGGACACCACCACCTGGAAAATGGCCTTCTGGGCTGCAGCTGTGGACTCGCCCAGGCGGTTTCCATTCTGATCGGTGACGGGGATCCCCACCTTGAGCTCTCTGCAGGGAGAGGTACATGGGTGGGGGGATCAAGAGACAGGGCATGGGCACAGCACAGGGGCACATCTCCATGTTGGCATTCCCCATCCACTGCCTGCGCAGTAAGTCAGGGGGGTCTCAGTTGGACCCACATTCACACTTGGGGGGTCCTCAACAGGGCTGGATGGGGACAGGTAATTCACAGCCAGCTTAACCGATAACCCCTTGGGATGCCACCGGGTGCTTGCACCAACCCCCCAGGGCAAGGGATGCCAGCAGGGCCAGGAAGGAACCCCCCCCCCCCCCCCAGTGCCTGGTAACCCCCGCCGTGAGCCGAGCACCCTGTCCCAGCCCAGGGCCTCACCTCTGCCTCATCAGCGGGATGTTGATGCAGTTGGCAGCAGCCACAGCCGCGAAAGGCACGTACCGGCCGATGATGGCTGGCAAGTGCTGTGGGGGGCAAGCAGGGAGCATGTCACGCAGAGGGTCTGGGGCAGAGCTGGTTGTCCCCAGGTCTGCCACTGTCCCCCTGCAAGATCCTGGTGAGTCCCAGCCTCACTGGGAAAAAACTGTTCCCTCCTCCCCTGCAACTCCCAGCTGGTGAAAGCTGCACAGCCCAGGGCATCCAGGGGGGTCCCATGTCCCCTCACAGCCCTGGAGGGAGGCCAAGGGGTGAAAGAAGCCTGGAGGGATCCAGCTGGGGATGGAGGGACAGGGCCACCTGCAGAGCCATCACCGGGGAGAGGGGCTGCCCCCAGGAAACGCCTTTCTTCCATTTTCTCCCCTGCCCCAGGTGATGGGGTGAAGCCCTTGCTCAGCTCAGAGCTCAGGGAGACCCCATGGGGAGGGTCCAGGTGCCCCAGCCAGTGATGGCCAAGGGACACCTTACCTTGGTGAGAGATTTGAGCCCCAGCGCCGTGACAACTGCCCCTGTGGTCGCGCTCACGTAGGCTGTCCCCAGCTGGCTGCAAGAGCAGGAGGTGACACTGATAAGCCAGGGTCCCCCCTATCCCACCCCCACCCCCTAAAAGGAGGGGACAGCATGCCTTTCAAATAGCCTCAGGACACCTGGGTTTCTCTCCCAGCTCTCCCACTAACCCTGACAGCTCCACTGGTGTCCATCTCCGGCTGTTCCAGGTCCCCCATCGTCCCATCTCACAGCCCCCTGCTATTCAAGAAGCTATTCAAGGCAAACCCACCCCCTGGCACTTTGGGGTGCCCTGAGGGCCTGGTCAGAAGGATGCTTACCTAGGGGTGATGGGTGCATCCCCGCTGCGGTTGGTGTAGTTGACGATGGCATTGAAGGACTGGTTGACCCACTGCCAGAACAGCACGGCCGGCGTGGTCCTACCAGAGAGAGGAGGATGCTGGTGGCATTGGGGGATGCCACCCGTGCTCCTACGGCACGGCTGTGCTGTGGGGTATGGGACATGTGTCACCTCCCGGCCCCAGGGCCAGGAGGGGCCAGGTACCTGTAGAAGGTCAACATGCAACCGGTGATGGTCATGTTCATGGGGACCTGGGCAGACATTCGTCCCACGAGGAGCATCTTCTCGCCCGTGTCAGGGTGGAAAGCTGAATCGTAGATGTACTTCGCCCGCCAAAGCTGGTCCTCTGTCAACCCCGGGGGTACTGTGCCCGCCCTTGCCAGGGAAGGGTAGCACCCGTTGGGAGACCACTCTGCCAGCACCCATGCCCTACCTGGTCCCCCACCCCATGCGGGGCAGCTGGGAGATGCTGGGCAATTTGGGGGACTGGCTTTGGACGGGGGGGCCAGCACCGCTCCTGTTCTCACCCCTGGGGGTGGCCCCCCCACACCCCGGGTACCTGTAGTCCTCCACCACCCGGCGGGCCTCCTCCAGCGTGGCCCCCGAGAGCAGCAGGTTTCGGGGGTCGGTCACCATGAAGAAGTGCTTGGCCCGGCCCTGGAAGGTGCTCTGGTCCCAGCGGGGCTCCCGGATGTTGATGGTGGCAGGGAGGGACGGTGGCATCTTCTGGGGGTGGGATGGTGGCGACATGGGATGCGGTGCCCGTGTCCCCCCCACTGCAGCCCTGCTGGGGCAGCTCCGGAGGTCCCCCAGCCTGGGTGAGACACGGGTGGGGGACAGGCAGGCCCTTATCAGTGAAGCTGAGTGGGGACCCCTGAGCCCC